ATTTTCCCACAATCATATGCTTTTATTGACATTCACATGTCTTTGCTTCGGGACGGGAATACCATTTGGGTGGCTAGTCTAAGGGAAATTAAATGGAAACGTGAAACATAGTCATCAGATTGTTTAGGGCTAGTTTCGATTGGAAAGTCAAGGGTTGTACGAGTCACGACCTGATTTGGGAGGAGACGGTCTGGCGAAAGAGTCAAGCATTTTTCTATGAAACTCTCGACGTCGTCCTCCGTCTGCTAGTCTCTTGTTGGGAGACGTACACTCGCATTCGGACAGCTTTTGTCGCGGCGGTTGGCAACTGAGTTCGCCTCGAAACGGTCGCTTCTCGAGGCGACTGGAAACGGGCAGTCCGGCCACGTCGGCCACCTTCGGGCAGGACTCAGGACACTGACTCACGAACCGGGACTCGGATTGAGAACAATTCCGCCTAACTCGAATGAATCCTCAGGACTGGGGCTTAGAACGCGCGGTTTAGGATAAGAAATAGGACATGGATTGGGACCCGGGACTATGAATCGGAACTGGAAGTTGGGGCTTGGCATTAGGACTCAAACTTAGTATTGGAAGTCGCGGATTAGAATAAGGCTTGCGATTTGGTCTAGGGATCATGATTCGGAAGAAGGGCTTTGTGCTCTGGCTCTGGACTATGATTCAGAACAACGACTCGGAACTGGAGCTCGGACTCAGGACTCGGACATGCAGCACGCTGCTTAGAATGGAGGCTGGACTCAGACGAATGACTCGGAAGTCGAATTCGGGACTATGACTTAGGACTCAGATTTTGGACCCAAGATTAAACCTTATGATTCGGATTTGGAAGTCGACACTTGGATTCTGGACTTTGATTTGGGCCTCGGGGTTTCAACTACCACTCAATAATTGGACTCATGATTTCAATGCGAAACTAGGGTTTTATGCTTTTGCTCTATACTTGGCCTCCGAATAAATTTTAGAACTTAAACTAGGACCCAGGACTCGGACTTGGAACGCGTGGTTCAGGATATGGCTTATAATAGAGGCTAGACTAAAACTAATGGCTCGGAAGTCGAATTCTGGACTATGACTTAGGACTCAGATTTTGGACCCAAGATAAAAACTTATGATTCGGATTTGGAAGTCGACACTTGGATTCTGTTCTTTGATTAGGGTTTCGGGGTTTAACTAACATTCGGGACTTGGACCCATGATTACGACCCGGAACTAGGGTTTTATGCTTTTGCTCTACACTTGGCCTCCGAATAAATTTTGGAACTTGAACTAGGACCCAGAACTCGGATTTGGAATGCGTGGTTTTTTGGATATGGCTTAGAATAGACCCTGGACTCAGACGAATGGCTCGGAAGTTGTATTAGGGACTATGATTTAGGTTTCAGATCTTAGACCCAAGGTCAAACTTATGATTAGGACTAGGGACTCAGAACTGAGATTTGGAAGTCGATTCTGGGATTCTGTTCTTTGATTTCGGTGTCGGGGTTTGAACTACCACTCGGGACTTGTACTTATGATTACGACCCGGAACTAGGGTTTTATGCTTTTGCTCTACACTTGGCCTCCGAATAAATTTTGGAACTTGAACTAGGATCCGAGACTCTCACTTGTAACGCGCGTTTCAGGCTAGATTTTGGCCTTGGACTCGGATTCAAGATTATAGCTCAGAACTCAGGGCAAACTGAGGGAATACGATTGGTGGGTCTCGGCGTGACTTGACGCCACTGGCGCATCCTGTCGACCCGCCACCTCGCGACAGCCGCTAACGACTGGCGCTCGTTTGTCCAATTTGGCGTGCAGTTGGTCGGTTCATTTCAATCGCATCCTTCACTGGCCCCCCGCTGATTCGAAGGCACAGTCTCTCCGTCTCCTTTGCTGCGTCCGGGAGGCTGGGGCCGATCGTGTGCCCAGTTCGAGGGCCCGAATGGGGCTCGGAGGCGAGTTGAATCGGTCGAGTCGGCCGACGAGGGGGCGAAGTGAGATGCAAACTCCTCTTGCTCCACTCTCCTGTCGACATGCGCTCAAGTAGGCTCGAGGCGAACATGACCACCGTTTGGAGTTGAGACGCTCTGTGGGTCGCCTGATGCCTCAGGGAAGACTGGCCGAGCTGCTTCTGCAGGAAGTGAAGCCGCTTTCATCTGTCGCC